ATGATTTTTATACAATATACGCATATATGTTCCCCATATATATATATATATATATATATATAGAGAGAGAGAGAGAGAGAGAGAGAGAGAGCGCTGCCCATACAAATGCGATCTGCATGCATGCAAGCGGTGCAGACACACACCGAAGGGACCTCTTCCATGCAAGCGACAAAAAGAAGAGGAGCCACCAGCTGCTGCTGCTGCAGCAGCATCAGCTGTATGCATATTGTAAACATAATACACAATATACCCACTCCCGTGCAAGCATCAAATGCATGCACAGCAATAAACAGACAAAACAGAAATACAAACGAAGGGCTACTGGTGCTAACATCATCCATACAAATAAATAAATAAATATATATATATATATGTATATTTATCTACATTGCTACCTACACCTGGTGCTGCTGCTGCAGCAAATACACTCAACCCCCTACTGGCTGCCCCTTAGCAATTGTTGGCGCCGAAGCGCCTTGCATGCATCTGCGGTGTATCCTCAGCTACAGCATACAACAAATATAATATATATTAATATAACAACACAATAATTATTAATATAACGAGATACTAATTAATATAACAAAATAATTATCAATATAACAACGCTATAAACAAAACAGCCTAAGACCCCCTAACCCCAACTCTCTCTAAAACCCTATGAGCGATATACATACATACATATATATATATATTTATTTATTTATTTATATTTATATATTTATCCCTTTCGGGTATACAGACAGCTCTGAGGTCGGTGAGCACAAGTACAAGACGAAGAGCAGCTGGAGCATTAAAAATAATTAAAAACGTAACGAAACAAAGACAAGCAGAATCCACACCCGCAGCAACTCACCACAGAATATCTGTGGGTCTTCTCTAATGAGGCCGGGAACGAACCCGCAGACGCTGAGCTCTGCTTGTAGCTGCTCAGGCTGATGGACGCCTCAAGGAGATCCCCATAGACATCCGTGTGGGGAGCCCCAAGGGTTATGTATTGCTCTATATAGATAGAGAGGTGAAAACCCTATTAAAACACCTTTGTTGTTTGCTTTTAGCAGCAATAACAACAATTTTAATAACAAATCATAAGACGCAGAACGTTCAGGTGTATGGATGTATGTATACATGCATACATGTACACATGTATACTCATCCATACACCCTACACATACTACATACATATATATTATACACACTTATGGTGTATATGTACATGCATGCAGTATATGAGAAATTGTCTGCGTTTATTGTTTAGGGTTATACCCAATGGGTCGTAAAGGAAACACCGAGAGCTCTCGGCGTCCTACACGGATGTGACCTGCCCATACACCCCAAATTCAGCTCCAGCACCCCACAATGTGCACCGCGGAACGGGGAGACGGCCGATCCCAGCCCCACTCCCGCAGCCCCGCCAAGACACCTGCTGCTGTTGCTGCTGCTGCTGTTGCTGCATGCAATAGGCTAAGTATTGCTAATTTATTAATCAATTGTTTTATATTATTATTTTGATATAATAATAGATATTTTATTACTATTAAATGCATGCTAGTTGCAGCCGAAGGGGCGGCAACGATGCGCTGCAGGTCTTGGGGGGAGCTGCGCAGACACCTGAGGAGAGCAGCAGCGGTGTAGATTGTTTGAATACGTTTATTTTTTGATGTGTATCGGAATATTAAATAAAAGTAATAATAAATAATAAAATAAAACAATTTCTCCCTTCTATCTACGTACAAGCATGCATAGTAACGCCCATCACTAGCAGACATGGTTGGTGTAGGCCTCCCTCTGACTCTTTTTATACACTCTGTGCCGCCGCAGCAGCAGCTTCTGCTGCTACTGCGTTGCTGTTGTGCTGCTGCTGCTTTGCTGCTGCAGTGCTGTTGCTGCAGCAGGCACCCCTGCTGTATGTACACCTGATAGAAGAGCAGCACAAACCTTTTGCGGCCCTGCAGCAACTTGCGCTTGCATACAGACACCCCAATTCCTCTCTCCGATATCCCTTTGCAACTTCCAGCTAAAGAAAAACCTCAAAAAGCATTCATGCATGCATGCATGCATGCGTGTGTGCATGCGTGTATGCATGAGCAGCAGCTGAGTTCTGCTGCTGCTGCAGCAGAGCATAGGATGATTCTGCCTACAATTTTAGTGAGTAAACAGACTGGCAGCAGCAGCAGCAGCAGCGCAGCAGCAGCAGCAGCAACAGCAGCAGCAGCAACAGAAGCCAGCCCCAGCGCTGATAGCTCAGTTGGGAGAGCGTTAGACTGAAGATCTAAAGGTCCCTGGTTCGATCCCGGGTCAGCGCGTTTTAATGTAAATAAACAAAAATAAATAAAGTAGTATAGCAGCTTTTTAATTTAAAAACAAAATATTATAACTAACCTTCATTATCACGAAAAGAAAGAAGAAGAGGGGCGTGTGCTGCTGCTAGCCAGACAGAGGAGACAGCTGCAGCAGCAGCAGCACCTCATGCTGCTGCAATTAGCAGCAGCAGCATCAGCTGATGCTGCTGTAACTAGCAGCAGCAGCAGCAGCTGTTGCTGCTATAACGTAGCAACAGCAGATGGTGCTGCTGCTAGTTCCCCTGTCCCTCTGTGCAGCGGCAACTGCTGCTGCTGCTTCTTCTCTCTCTTCGAACAGCAGCAGCAATACCAGCCTCTACTACCGCTGCTGCTGCTGCTGCAGAGAAGCAAAAGGAGACACCTGAGAGGCAGCAACTCCTTCTGGTGTTTGCAGATTAATTAATAAATTTCTACTCGCTCCAGGGACATACAACAACAAAATAAAAGGCCTCATTATATATATATGTATATATATATATATATATACATATATGCATATATACATACATCTATATATGTATACAGATATATAGAGATAGATATATAGATGTAGATAGATCGATATAGATACAGCCATACACTCATATATGTATATATATACATATACATATATATATATCTACATATATATATATATATATATATATATACGTATGGATATATAGGCATAGATATAAAGCCTAAACGGAAGTAATAACACAAACAGCGACTAAACAAAGACAAACAACAACAAACAAAAGTGCAGCAAATCGATCAACGCGAAAGAGATGCGGAGACCCAGTAAAGACGCAGAGACGCGTCCCTGTAGCAGCAGCAGCAGTAGCAGCAGCAGCAGCAGCAGCAGCAGGAAAAAACAGCAGGAGCAAAAGCAGCAGCAGGAATAGCAGCAGCAGCAACAGGCACACAACACCAGCAGCAACAACAGGATCAGTAGCAGCAACGAGAACAAGACCAGCAGCAGCAACAGCAACAGCACCGGCAAACGCAACAGCAGCAGCAGCAGCTAAAGCACCAGGGACAGCGGCACCGGCAGCAGCTGTAGCAGCTCCAAGCTACAGCAGGAAGGAAGCAGCAGCAGCAGAAGCAGAGACAACAGGAGGATCAGCAGCAGCGGCGAGGTTTGCAAGGCAGCAGAAGCGGAGAGTCGCTGCCTATACACCCCAGCTCATCCACACGTTTCAGCTTGCTTACTAGTTGCTGCTGCTGCGCTGCAGCAGCAGCAACTAGCAGCAACACTCAAATCATAAATAAACCGAGCAGCAGCATATTCGTGAATGTCAGCAGACCAGCAGCAGCAACAGCGGCAACAGCAGCAACTGCAGCTATGGGAGCAACAGCAGCAACAGCAGCAACAGCATCAGCACCGGCACTAGCGCCAGCAGCAGCAGCAGCACTAGAATAAGTAGCAGGAGCAGCGTAAGCAGCAGCATCAGCATAAGCAGCAGCAGCAGCACTAGCATAAGCAGCAGCAGCAGTTCTCAGCGGCTATCTCTGCTGCAGCTATTCGATTCATAGAGCGTGTGGGGCCCCCAGGGATAATCTTATATTTTTATTTTGTCTTTCTTTGCTGTTACCTCTTCTTCTGAATGCCTGCAGCTGCTGCTAGGGTCGGTTAGTTTGTCGCTGCTGCTGCTGCTGTTGCTGCTGGTGCTGCTGCTGCTGCTGCTGTTGCTGCTGCTGGCTTCCAGTGTTGTGCTGCTCTAGTATATTTTCTTTATCTACCTGTGTATAATAATAAACAAACAAATTAATTGTATTGGGATGCATGCAGCAGAGAAAACTGCTGCTAAGACGACCACAGAACCACTGGTGCGGCAGAGCCTGCAGGCGCGGCGCCTCTGCTGCTGCTGCTGCTGCTGCTGCTGCTGCTAGTATCGATACGCTCTTTTCCTTTTGCTGCTATTATTAACTACTATTGAAACAAAAAGAAGAGCTTAAAAACTATTTAAATAAAACCTCTAATAGAACGGAAGACTAAGCAAACGCCATCAGCGCCTGAAACTACAGCTTCTGCAGCAGCTACTCTTGCTGCTGCTGCTGCTGCTGCTGCTGCTGCTCTTGCTGCTGCTGCTGCTGCTGCTGCTGCATGAGACCCGTAGTGTTTTGCTCCATATTAGGGGTAGAACAGAGGAGAACTGGAGGCAGCAAAACAATTTGCTGATTTACTGCAAACACTAACAGCACAGCAGCAGCAGAGACGTGCAGCTGCGCTGGGCTCATCGAGGTGGCAGCCCAGCAGCAGCAGCAGCAGCAGCAGCAACAAATTTGCTTCTTTCAGAAATGTAAAGGCATCAGCAACGCAGCCATGGAGTCCGCAGCAGCGGCAATACCCCCGCAGAGCGGGGAGGCAACAGACCTCCCTGAGGAGCAGCAGCAGCAGCAAGATGAAGAGAAGCAGCAGCAGCAGCAGCAGGATGAGCAGCAGCTGCAAGACCACCAGCAGCAGCAGCGGGATCAGGAGGAGCATCAGGATCAACAGGCGCAGGAGCAGCCGCAGCAGCAGCAGCTGCAGCAGGATGAGCAGCAGCACCAGCACGACCAGCAGCATCAGGATGGATCGCAGCAGCAGCAGCAGCAGCACCAGCAGCAGCACCAGCAGCAACATATTGTGGGTGCAGCTCTCAGTGCATTGCGTACTCTGCGTAGCCAACGAAGCGTCAAATTTGAGGGTGGGCTGTTCCGCTTGAGCAGCAACAACAACAGCAGCAGCAACAGCAGCAGCAGCAGCAGCAGCAGCAGCAAGGGGGTTGCCGGGTCTGCGAATGCACCACTGATACGCGCAGCAACAGGCCGTCTGCAGACTGTGGGGTCTCGGGTGTATACGGAGGTCCCGAAGCCAAACCCTAAAGTATTAGATGCTGCTCTCCACTCTATGGAGTCGTCTGCTTTCTATAGAAAACCACCTGCTAAACAAAACACTCAAAACATTAACAAAGACTCTGTAAGATCAAATGGGCTAGGGTTTAGGGTTTAGGGTTTAGGGTTTATGGTTGGGGCTTAGGGTTTAGGGTAGGAGGTTTAGGGTTTAGGGTTTAGGGTTTAGAGCTGGCTGCGGCTAAGCTAATGAACAGTTGCTGTTAGAAATGCGGAGAGTGCTGTCTCCCTAGGGCGTCGCTCCTTCCTTGTTGTTGCTGCTGCTGTTGCTGCTTCTGCTGCTGTTGCTGCTGCTGCTGCTCTAGCTGGTGCTGCTGTAGCTGCTGCTGCTGTTGCTGTCCCAGTGGCTGCTTTTATCACCATTGCTGCTGCAGATGTCTGCCTCACGCTGCAGATTTGATGTCTCACTGTTTACCCCCTCCCTGTTCTTGCTGCTGCTGCTGCTGCTGCTGCTGCTGCTGCTGCTGCGGGTGTACAGACACCGCAAGATGCAACTTCGAAGGACTTGAGCGGCTTCTACCAAAAACTTTTGGGGGAAGACTGGGAGGAGCAGCTGCAGCAAATGGAGTCGCAGGAACTTGACGATGTCTTTTCAGGTGAGCTACGCGCTGCTGCTGTTGCTGCTGCTGCTGCTACGTGCTGCTGCTGCTGCTGCTGCTGCTGCTGCTCGTGGTAGTTGGTTCGGCTGCATATATGGCTGCTGCTGTATCGTCAGCTGCAGCAGCAGCAACTGCTGGTGTTTCCGTTTCGTTTATCTCAATTCTGCTGTCCCGGCGAGATCTGCTGCTGCTGCTGTTGCTGCTGCTGCTGCTGCAGGAGAGGCTGCTAAGCGCAGCAACAGCGGAGATGTGTCGGGGTATACGTCCAGCCCTACCGACAATTTTCAGGGCAAACTGCGGCAGCGAATTCGAAGGAGAGAACAACGCACTCACGATATAAGGTAGACTACCTGCTGCTGCTGCTGCTGCTAGTGGTGCTGCTAGTGCTGCTGCTGCTGCTACCGCTAGCGCTGTTGCTGCTGTTGGTTCTGCTGCTTTGCGGGGTTACCCACCAGGAGGCCTGGGACTAGTTAGCTAGTTAGCTAGCTAGCTAGCTAGCTAGATCGCTAGCTAGCTGCTTAAGTGTTTATATTTGTTTTTGTTTTCAGTGATGAGGTGGCGGACGATCTGCAGGTGGCGGATGATGAACCCCTCATCACAGCTGATGAGATCGCGTGCGCCAAACCCTAAACCCTAAACCCTAAACCCTAAACCCTAAACCCTAAACCCCAAACTATATTACCCCGAAGCCCTAAACTATATTACCGCTAAACGGTAAACTGTATTACCCCTAAACCCTAAACTATATAGACCCTAAACCCTAAACTATAACATATATAATATATATAATATATATAATATATATAATATATATATATATATATATATTTGATATTAGGGAGATTCGAGCAAAGGCGTGGAGGCCGTTTGGAGAGAGTGTCCCTGCTCTTCCTTCGCTAAGCTTGGGATATCATCAGGCTTGGGATGTTGGGAAGAGAGGCTGCATAGCGGCGAAGTTAAATATGCTGTGGGCTCCAGCTGTACCTGCAAGTACACTGCGTTTCTTTGTTATGGATGGGACGGATCCAGGTATGCATGCAGCAGTCTCTTTCTTCTTCCTATCTTCGTCTTCAATTCACCTGCTGCTGATGAAGATGCTCATCCTCCTTGTGCTGCTGCTGCTGCTGCTGCTGATGATGATGATGCAGATGCTGATGATGCTTGTGGTGGTGGTGGTGCTGCTGCTGCTACTCCAGATGCTAATGCTGCTTGTGCTGCTGCTGCTCCAGACGCTGATGCTGCTTGTGCTGCTGCTGCTGCTGCTGGTGCTGCTGCTGCTGGTGGTGCTTGTCTATATATATATTTATAATTATATATATATATATATTTGTGTATACAGATTCTTTTTAAACGTATTACAGAATGTATATATATCTAATTAAATGCATATATATGTATATATATAACTATATATATATTTGCGTGTACAGATTCTTTTTTAACGTATTACAGCACATATATATCTAATTAAATGTATACATATATATAATTATATATATATATATTTGTGTGTACAGATTCTTTTTTAACGTATTACAGCAAGTCAGACTTGCAAGCTGCGCGAGGCATAAGCGCGGAGAGGCTGGGGTGTATAAACGCTAGAGATTTATTAGAAGGTCATTGGTCTTACTATAAAGCAAAAGTGTTTATTAAGAGATCAGACAAAAAGAATAAAGACTGCGTACTTCAAAACTTTGCTGCAGACTTCTTTGATGCTATGCTCGTCTGTCTATGGTATGTACACACATACATATATATATATATATATATACATTTATATATTTATATATCTATATATTAAATACAATTAACATTATATATATAGAAATAGAATGATATATATATATATATATGCATGTATATTTTCTCTCTGTAGGCTGATGCTGCTGACATATATATATATATATATGTACATATATATATATATATATATGTATCTGTATGCATATATTCTGCTAGTGCTGCTGCTGGTACAAGTACTTTTCATCTCCGTCATGCTGCTGCTGCTGACGCTGCTGCTGATGAGAATTATTTTATGCTGCTGCTGCTGGTCTGTGGATTCCTGCTGCTGCAGCTGCTGTTGCTGTTACTGCAGCTGCTCTTACTGCTGCTACTGCTGGCAATGATGCTGCTGCTGCTGTTGCTGCTGTTGCCGCTGCTGCTGTTGCTGACGCTCTTTTTGCTGCTGCCATTTCTCCATCATTTGTGCATTTGCTGTTTCGTTTATTATATGCCTATCAATTATTTATTATTTATTATTTATTATTTATTATTTATTATTTATTGTTTGTTTATTTAGGGAGATGGAGGCTCAGGCTAAGATAGAGCAGCTGAAGCACCAGAGGCGGCAAGAGCGCAGCAAAGCTCGTCTCTCTCACCTGAGCAGCCCCAGTGCAGCAGCAGCAGCAGAAGCAGCAGCAGCAGCAGCAGCAGCAGCAGCGCGTTCAGGGGGCCGCCTGTCTGCTTCTGTAGTGACGTACAACCAAGGCAGCAACCCGCTGCTGCCTTTACCTGCTTCCCGGGGGCTCTCCAGAGGAGCAGGAGCAGCAGCAGCAGCAGCAGCACGCCGCAAACTTAGGAAGTCTATTGCTGCTCGTCTGGTGCTAGATGTCCGTCTACTTAGCCGAAAAAGAGTAGAAGTGCAGTGGGTAGAAGAGAGAGTAAAGAGACAGAGGCAAAAAATTCAAGACAGCAGCTCGATTGCAGCTGAAGAAAATATGCATGCAGCAGCAACAGCAGCAACAGCAGCAACAGCAGCAACAGCAGCAACAGCAGCAACAGCAGCAGCACCTGCAGCAGAGACACCAGAAGCAACACCAAATAACACAACAAGTGCAGAAACTGCAGCAGAAACTGCAGCAGGAACTGCAGCAGAACCTGCAGCAGAAGCTGCAGCAGAAGCTGCAGCAGAAGCAACTCAAGAATCAGCAACACCAGAGGCACCAGAAGCAGCAGCACCTGCAGCAGCACCATCACCAGCACCATCAGAGCCAGCAGCAGCAACACCAGCTGCAGCAGCGCCAACAGCAGCAGTTGCTGCTGCAGCAGACGGCTGCGAGGCTACGCAACATTCAGAAAGGCAGGAGACTGCTGCAGGCCCTGAGGGGACCTCATGAGGGCAGCAGCAGAAGGTGTCAGGAGCAGCGGCAGCAGCAGCAACAGCAGCAAAACAAGCAGCAGCAGCAGCAACAGAAACAGCAGCAGCAATGGCAGAAACATCTTGATGCTGCTGCACGCGGAGCAGCGGAGGGTGACAGACATCGGGATGCTTCAGCAGCTGCCCGCAGCTGTTGCTGCAGCCATTGCAGCTGTTGCTGCTGCCAATGCTGCTGCTGGTGCTGCCTATGCTGCTGTTGCTGCTGCTGCTGCAGGCATGCAGCACTGCAGCAGCAGCAGCAGCAGCAGCAAGGTGTTTCTTTTTGTATGGCGCCGCATAACTCTGACATCTACTGGGGCAATGTTTCCGTACAGCAGCACTGCACAGCAGAAGCAACAGCTGCTGCTTCTGCTGCTTCTGCTGCTGTAGAAGCAGCACTGCACAGCAGCAGCAGCAGCTGGGAGGGCGTGGGCCGAGAGCATCACCAGCTTCGTCTGTTCTATGCTTTGTGCTCTGTATTGTTTGCATTTAAAACAAATTATTTAAAAAGCTGCTATACTATTTTATTTATTTTTGTTTATTTACATTAATACGCGCTGACCCGGGATCGAACCAGGGACCTTTAGATCTTCAGTG